CTCTCGAGATGTCTCAAGTTGCTTTGGAAGAACTAATGATCAAGAAAGAGGAAGAGCTCAAGTGTGCTATGGCTACCATTGGTCTTTGGAACAAAGGATCAAAGACTTTGGAGGATATCATTAGGTCTCAACAAATGTGTTGTGACAAGAGTGGCATTGTATTTGGTGATAACAAAGAGCAAAAACAGAATGCACCCACATCTCATGATACAAGAACTCAAGGGCAAGGGGAGCACAAGATTCAACGAGAGGAAAGACTTCTCAATTTTCCTAAAGTTGGTAAGGTCAAAGAAAAGAATGTACACCCTGTACACCCTGTGTTTATTTGTTATTATTGTGATATGCACGGTCATCTTCGCCTTTATTGTTATAAGTTGCATGGGAGAGTGTCTTATAGAGATGGAAGAAATTCCAACATCTCATGGGGTAGTAGACACTTCATTGGTGGTAATGAGGTTAAGGGTCATATTAGACATCGTTATTTTGATGCGCTTGAGACCAAACATGGAGCGAGTTTGCATTTGCCTAGCTCTAGGAATAGGAAGTTGGAAACCATGTCAAGATGGGTTCTCATTGAAGTGAAAGGGAACCACAACGTCATGACACTACCCAAGAACCGCCATTCTCACAACTTTGTTCATACTAAAGCAGTTTGGGTGAGAAAATTTGACTTGTGTTAATTTGTTTATTCGTTTTAGTTTTTGGATTTTTGTGTGTTTTTTTTCTTTTTGAGTCATTTGATATGTGCCTATTCGTTTTCTGTCTTGCTTTGTTTTAAAAAAAAAAAAAAATCCAAATAGATTTTCTTAGTATGGTTTTGCAAGCTTGAAATTTTTGAGTAGTCCTTGATGCATATTGGAATTGATGAGAACATCCAATACATGTTAATATATGTGTGCTTTCTATGGTCATTACTCATTTCGGAGTGTGTGTTCTTTGATTAGTATGTCTCATTTGTACACACTCTTGGATTAGCAAATTTTGGAGTCTTTCGGGTTAGTGATCATTTTTCTCTATGGACTTCTAGCATTATATCATTTGCTTTTCTAGAGGAATTGACCTATACTAGCACATCATGGGTGATGTTGAGTCTCTTAACCACCTTCCATCTTTTTGCATCTCCACGGCTTTCCCCTCTATTCTTTGGAGTCCAGCCATGAGGAAAAGGCTACCTCAAAGTCACCAACCAGGCTATCCTTATTATATCCATGCTTTTCTGGTTCGGTTTCCATACTCTTGAGCGTGTCAGCCGCCAATGAGTGTGAAAAAAAAATGTGAAAAAGAAAGAAAAATGTGCAAAAGAAAGAAAAGAAAAAAAATGTGTGAAAAAGAAAGAAAAAAAAAGGATTCATTGATTGAGGGGGAGCCTCTGCTATTACTCAACAAATACCTCTTGATTCCTAGTGGTTTGACTTTCCTTCGTTGTGCTTAGATTCTCTTGTCAGAGGTCCAGCTTTCATATCACTACTAGGATTTGAATCTAGTGTTTGTCGAACCCCAAGAGTCACGCACACGCTTTTTTCATGGGATCTATGTTTTTCACATAATGCCTCACTTTCTTTTATGAGGAATTTTCTAGAGGCTGTGCACATTGTGTTTTCAAGTAATTGTACTTCTTGGATAATCTTGTGTGTTTCAAGGTACAAATCTGAAATTCCTTGCTTGCTCCACCATATTAGTTTTTGACGTTATCTTCTTTTTCATTGTTTTTAGTGAGGAGGAGTTTGGTTTTTCTTTACAAGAGTTTGTTAGCATGAACACTTTGATTTGTTTGAAAAGGAAGATTGGTTAGAGTTATTTTGCATGTTGCTATGCACTGTTTGTTGATTATTTCCTCTTGCATGCTCCTGATATTTACATCATCATATCATTGCTTGTGTGGTTTATGATTTTGCTTTAGTTGATTGAGCTTCCTTTGTCAATTCGTGACAAAAAGGGACAGAAAGTTGTTTTTCATGTTTTCATGCTACATGTTCTTAAAATCTCTAATTTGCTTTTATTCATTTTGTTTCTCTCATGTTTCAAGATAATTTAGTCATATGTTTATTGTTTTATCATATACTCTTGTGGCACTAATAGTTGTTTTGGAGATTGCGGCACTAATAACTGTTTTGGAGATTGTGGCACTAATAGCTGTTTTGCAGATCATGACCTTGAGAAAGAAGTTTACGTTTGTTGGCTGTATTGGGCTGGGGTGATTAGGATTTTATTTGTTAGGTGTGTTTTGTCACGGCATTGCCAAAGGGAGAGATTGTTAGGTTTTTATTCTTGGCAACCTCGTTTGACAAAACTCCTTTCAGTTCTATTTGTTTTCGCACTTTTTATTTCAGTAAGGCTATGAGTTTTTATATGCGAATCCAACCCGAATTGTGCCCTGCAGAGAAATTTTGTGATGTTAATTCTTTCAAGATTGCCACTTCGCTGATTATGACGGGGATCGAGCTGCCCGGTCAGCTTGCGGGGATCGGGGGGCAGCGTCCCTTGGCAGGTCCGGGGCAGTGCCCAAGCGGGGTCGAGGGGCAGCGCCCTCGAAGTAAAATGCAAAAATGCATTCAAAGTTGCCTGTCTGCTCGAGCGGACATTCCCCCACTCGAGCGGAGAATACTGAGTTCCAGAAGTTTATTTGCCTGCAAAATACTGGATGTTGTTTTTTCCCGCTCGAGCAGAACTTTCCGTGCTCGAGCGTAGGCCTGCTCGAGCGGCCAATCTGGCGCTCGAGCATAGATCACGGGACAGTTTTCTATAAATACGTGTTTCAGTCCAAATCTAGGATAATGCCTCCAGATCTTCTTCTTGGGTTCCAGGGTTTATATCTGGAGTTATTTTGCTAGTTTTCTTTGATGTTTCATTGAATATAGAGTCCCCACTCGAGCATCCATTCTCACGCTTGAGCGGACCTCGCGATCTCAGCTACTATAAAACCTCAAGTTGCTCCAAATCTAGGGTTACGCTTCCAGATCTTCTTCTTGGATATTAGGAATTATATTTGGGACTATTTTGCTAGTTTTCTTTGATTTTTGATTGAGTATTCAACTCATGGTTTAAAAAGTATACATCAAAGGATTGTTTGTTTATTCCATATAAAAAAGAGAGTTGTTCTTCGGTGGATTCTGGAGAATTCAAGCATGAAGCTTTGGTGGATTCTAGAGTGGCTCATAGTCAAGATGATTTTGAGGTGAAGACGGGGCTGGAAGAGGCACATAGGGGTTGGTCCAATTTGGACGTGGATTCGCCAGGTAATTGAGAGTATACTTGTATAATTCCTTTATGTCTTTTTAGTAGATTATTTTGTGGCTTTTGTTCGTGATTTTTTTTATCACAATTGGAGGTGTCCAATTGTGATTTTTTCACGTATAATTGTTGTGTCGATTTGTCTTGATTGTTTGATTGAGATTATTATATACTGCTTAAAATTAATACATAATTATAAATCAACGTGTAGGGGGTTTCTAGATTTTTCAATCAGAAAACCCAAGTTTTGTTGGATTCAAGACAGCTCTCGAGATCAATGTTCACTGCACTTGGATTGTCTCCAAGTCTTCACCAACTTTTTTTTTTTTTTATATATTTTTTTAAACTATGGTTGATTTGGTTGAATGACTGCAATTCATGGCTTGGTTTGAGGAACATATATTGAAGGAAAGGAATGACTGTAAAAGATTTAAGAATTGCCACTAATTGAGTAGTGAATGAAATTGCAACAAATAAGAGCCCATCATGGTTACTCCCAGTGCCTACCCATAAAAAGGGTAGATGTAAGCTTTTCTAATTTTATAGAATTTTATCACAAAATTAGATACAGTTATCTCATATTTGATGACCCAAGTTAGAGGCTTTTGTTCAATTGTGATCATATTTTGTGCACTTAGAATTTTCCTAGTAGATATACATATCATTGGATATTTTTAACAAATTCTTCACCTTTCTTTTCTCTCTTTCTTTTATTATTATTATTATTATTTGAAAAATTAAAAAAATTATTTGGCAAACTACTTCAAAAACTTTCTTTTTGAATTTTTTTTATAAAAATTAATCCAATTTTTAAAAAAGGAAAAAAAATATTATCATAGAAAAATAAATATGATGAGAAAAAAAAAAGTGTTTTTAATTTTTTTTTTATTTTATTAAAAAAAAAACCCAAGAAAGTCCTAAATTTTCACGGTGCTATGCAAAAACCAATTGATCAGGGTGCTGAGAGAGAGAGGGAGAGAGAGAGAGAGAGAGAGAGAGAGAGATAAGGAGAGAAAAGACCACGAACTTACGAGGAGATGCATAGCGGAAAAGATTCAAACGACCAACATGACACGTAAATTTGTATTATTAAAAAATAGGATAAATTACAAATAAATTTCTTAATATTTACTTAAAATATAAATTGTCTCATGTTATTTATGAAATCACATTCCATCCTTTGAAGTTTTTAACTTCATAAGAAATAGTGTATTTTGTTAATAAATCATTAAATTAATAAATAATTTTTAATGATACCAAAAATTTATTTTAATTAATAATTTAAATAATTTTATTATTGTATAAAAAACAGTTATGAATATTATTTTTTAATTAATTATGTTAAATAAAAAATTATAACAAAGGAATATTGTAATTTTTTAAAATATAGGAGACAATTCATATTTTAAGTACATATTTTAAAAAAAAAGAAGAAGTTAATATAGCATTTTATTTTCCTGAGCTTCCAAACACGGCATAAAGTTTCTCTCACAAGGTTGCATTTCTGAAGGAGAGCCAGCAGGGAGAAGGTGAAGAAGAGGTGAAGGAGCTGAGCCAAGGTTCTCTCCTTGCAGCCTGGTACTTGTGCCCGTCCTTGCAGGCCTTCGGGTCTACTTTTAAGCCCAATTTTAATAATCCGAACCGTTCATATTTTATGATTTATTCAGTATATCATACCTGTAAAAAATCAAGTTGATCGGATATCAGAAAGTATGTGTTTGAAAAACTGTTTATTAAATTATTTAAAAAATAGTTTTTAATTCAATTTTTCGAACACATACTTTCTGATATCCGATCAACTTGATTTTTTACAGATATGATATACTGAATAAATCATAAAATATGAACGGTTCGAATTATCAAAATTGGGTCTTAAAGTAGACCCGAAGGCCTACAAGGACAGGCGCAAGGATGGAGGCTGCAAGGAGAGGATCCTGATTCGGATGAGCTGGCCGGAGAAGATGCAGGTCCAGCTGCCCCAAAGCTCGTTCGCCTACCAAAAATTTATTTTAATTAATAATTTAAATAATTTTATTATTGTATAAAAAACAGTTATGAATATTATTTTTTAATTAATTATGTTAAATAAAAAATTATAACAAAGGAATATTGTAATTTTTTAAAATATAGGAGACAATTCATATTTTAAGTACATATTTAAAAAAAGAAGAAGAAGTTAATATAGCATTTTATTTTCCTGAGCTTCCAAACACGGCATGAAGTTTCTCTCACAAGGTTGCATTTCTGAAGGAGAGCCAGCAGGGAGAAGGTGAAGAAGAGGTGAAGGAGCTGGCCGGAGAAGATGCAGGTCCAGCTGCCCCACAGCTCGTTCGCCTGCTGTACTTCGTCGGCGCCGGATGTAATCTTCCTCTTCAATCTCATACCCACACAATATATATATGTATAGATTTGATTTTAATGTATGTATATGTATTGTTAGGTTATATATTTATGTATGATTCGACAGTTGTGTGATCATCGACAACATTTGGGCCATTTTGTTTCAGTCATAAGCACTTTGGCTATCAACAAGTGGAGAGATCTTCAACGAAAGTCAATTCAACAACAGCAAGATCGATTATCGGATATGGTACACAAAGCTATCGAATAACAAATTATAACTTTGGGGTTTTAGGGCTTCATTCTAGAGCATTGTGAGTAATCTTCTCAAGTCTGATTTTGCTCTTTTACTCAGTTATTTGTATTGTGAAATTGAAATTCCAATTGGCTTTTAGCAGAAGTCTCTGAACGTTTTCGATACGCATATTTCTTTCTCAATTTTGGAAATTTCAATGTGGGAAGCCTTTTATATGTGAAGAAATTTGCTATTATATTGTGGGATTGTGCTCAATAGGGCTGTAAACAAGCTCAGTCGAGCCAAGTAATAGGTTGTTCAAGTTTGAGCTTCTAAAATGTGTTTAAGCTTGATTTGTTTATTTTTGGGGCAATGTCAAACAAGTTTTAATTGAGTCGAGCTGACTTCAAGTCAGTTTTAGAAAATTAAGGAAATTGTGGGATTATGGTTTGTTGGAGCTTTATAATCATAATTATAATATTCCCTGATTATTTGATGTAGGTTTGAAGCTCAGACTTGTAGTTGTAATCTAACATGGTCATAGTCGTATGACGAAAAGAAAATACCTATTAAAAATTAACCAAAACAAACATTCAAATCACAAAATCTAGATCCATTTTGTTTTGTTTCTTTTTTTCTTGGGTTAGTTACATATTTGTGGTTTTTGTATGGGTAGAAATGATTCTAGTTGATAGATTTCTTTTGCTGGAATGCAGAAATGGATTCCTTGTTTCATTTGAGAGAAAAAAATGTGTACCCTACAATTTTTTGTGTCTATGGTACTTTTCTATAAAAATATAGAGTAGTTTGGGAAGCTTCTCCCACTCAACTGGACCACATATAAATCATTCATCTATGTAGATGCATGTATATGTATATTTGTATGTATTTACTGTACTAGCAACTCTCACTCACTTAATGATAACCCGAGAGGATAATTGGTTAGTTTGGAAATGGGGGTCTAGAATTTGAGAGATATTGAATGTGAATGTATTGGAATATGGAAATCATTTAAACCACAACCTTTGAGCAAGTAGCTGTACTTTAAAGAGAGAGAGAACCAATATACGGGTTAGACTAGAGTGCCTGTTTAGAAACAGAAATTTAATCTAGCTGAATAAGTAAAATACTAAAATCTGATCCTCTTAAAAGATTTTGAACATGGTACATAAATTCCATACTAAGGCCTCGTTTGGGAACAGGCTAATTTAGTAACTTTTTGGCTATTTGACTAAAAAGGTAGGTAAAAAAAACTTGTATGTTTGGGATGACTTTTTGGCTAATTACGAAAAGATGTGCAAAAAGTAGAGAGAAAAGAGAATCTTTGACTTTTTGGTATAGGTTGTTGGCTTTTTGGCTAATTTAGTAACTTTTTGGCTAATTGGCTAAAATAGCCTCTTGCCAAACGAGGCCTTAGGTCTTGGAGAAACTCTAAATGAGTTGAGTCCAGCCTAATAGTAGGTATTCAAGTTTGGTTTGAAGCTTAATAAAGTTCAAAAATATGTTTAGCTCGATTTGTTATTCTTTCGAGCCAATCTCAAATGAGTTTTAATTGAGCCAAGCTTGAGTAGCTTGGTTATTTATAGTGTATATAAGCTTATTGAGCCGAACTCAGAAAATTAATAAGTTTCAAATTGTGTTCAAACTTGGCTTGTTTATATAACGAGCTGATCTCAAACAACTTGTAATGAGTTGAACACGAGTTGAGCTTGAGTAGTTTGGTTCGTTTTACAACCACACGGTGCTGAATCTCTTTGTTCTCTCTCTTTTTCACAACTTGGCTCTTTTTTTTTCAGTGGCATTTACTAAGCTAACCCATAAGACAGAATTACCACACCATTTAGAAGGGGGAAAGAAAGAAAAGATCAGATCAGACCTGACCAGATGCTGCTTTAATTGTCATGTTGCATTGAAACTATTGTGTTCCACTTTTACATGGCTCTATAATACTCACAAAAAATGTCATCTCACTGTGCAGTTCTCACTTCATATCATAGTTTGCTGCTGGCGCATTCTTGATCGAATGGGAGCTTTATTTGTACCATACCAAATGGTTGAAATTTTTTCATTCCCTGTTGTTTGTTATTTGGACTTCAGAGTGCGGCTTCTTGTATGAGTGGGGTTTGTCCCCTTAATTTAGTTCAGTCAATTGTGTCCAAATCAATGCTTAGTAGTTAGTACATACAGAATTTGAGACTGTTCTAGATCTTCACCTTAAGATGTTTTGATATTTGTTGAAATTAAGTCCATCTTATATTTTACAGAGGATTTTGATTACCCTTTTTTTAATTCTCTTTTACCAATTGGAAAAATTAAAAAATAAATAAAATAAAAATGATACGCATAATTTTTTTGGGGATAAGTCATTCTTTGTTGTAGGAGATTTTCTTGAAAATACTGCTGGACTCTGGGGTTCATCACAGACTAACCTGGATATATGATTTTGTAACTGTACAATGTATGAATCAAACAAAGGTAGTGTGCGTTGAAGTCAGCGATTAATAGGTTTGATGTTGCAACTAGATTATTAGTTGATAGAGAGAGAGCTGACAAAAAGTTGCAACTCATTTTTTATTACTGTTTTAGTATTATTGGGAAAAGGCCCTGCTTGTCTCAGTTCCTTATTATGAGATTGGACAAGTCAAATTCCGAAATCAACAAGGAACACGATGAAGCTTGATACCGGTCCGGTGCTGGATAAGTACTCTACTCTTAACTTGAGATTTTTGACAACTATAATAAATAAATAAACTCATAATTTTCGAAAGAAAAATTTTATGTAAATAAACAAATTATATAAAATTTTCTTATTAACTATGTGGCATGCAATGAATTCAAAACACAGTCAACTTTCATAATCACTGTTACATTATTTTAAATAATATTTTATCAAAATTTTTTAACAATTTTATTTTATTTATTATTCTTTTTTTAGAGCTAAACAGCCACATAATATTAGTATTGCTACTTGCAAATAGTTACAGGATTTGCCAATTCATGCGCCGAGTGGACTATATTTCTGCCTACTTTATTGATACAAATATAGTTTAAGTGCTTCGCATAGTTTATAATATCATGCAAAATAGTACCAATCTGCCAATATAATAGTTTATGCTAAGTCAACATATAAAATAACATTTATTATATAAATATGTAAATAAACAAAAAAATATATAGCATAACATAACATAAATATTGATGATACTGCTGATCGCTGGAGGGCGAGTCGGGTAGGCCCGCGGTCCCTGCACCGTTCACCAGTCACTGAGCTCACTGGAATACTTGCAAAAATTTTCAACGGGGAACGGGAGTCCCCCAGCGGACCTTTCGACGATCGAGTTAGAAGAGAGAGGGATTGATGGTGTGTAAAGAGAGAGAGATTGAGAATAGAGAATTTAACCTTTTGTGTGTCTTGGAAGCCTCCTTATATCCTTTGTTCATCATTTTCTTATCCACTCTGATCTGTCATGTTGGCTGAAAGTCTATGCTCTATCTTGCCTTGTTCATGGTGAGGCTGCCCGTTCTGACGTGAAGGGGTTATCGCATTTAATGCTGCAGGAGTCTCATTAATGGCTGATGTGTGGTGCAATAACTCTGCAAGATCTTTGTCTGCTTACGTACTAGTTCTCCTCTTGATAAGTGTTTAGATGCCATTGGTTTCTGGTGCAGCGTTGGGTTTTCAATGGTGTTGGGCTATAGTGCTTAAACCGTGAATTGAGCTCTAAGTGGTAGGCCAAAAGCTTCTGTAGGCCAACCGATGTCAGTAGTCCCCCATTCCTAAGTGCAACTTCAGTCCAATGAAGGGAATAAGAAGGAAGACGGGGAGTGTGTGGGGCCGAGTGAGAGGAGGGCCGACCGCAAAGAAAAGGGGAAACCGAGCGAGAAGCCCGACGAAGAGGCGGGCAGACCGCAAAAAGGAGGAACAAAATGAGAAAACCGACCGAGATGAGAGCCGACCGAGAAAGGGGGACCGATGGAGAAGACCGACCGGAAGGAAGGCCGACTACGAAAGAGGAGACTGAGCGAGAAGACCGACCGAGATGAGGGCCGACCGCAGAAAGAGGGGCCGAGCGAGAAGTGGTGGTGGCGCGCGGGGCTCGAGAAGTGACGAGGCACATGATAATGTGAAGTGGAATAGACAGAGAAGGGTTAAGGGTAGTGAATCGTGGTTGTACACGAGGCATGATCCAGTGATGAGGGAGGTGATGCGTTAGCAGGAAGCGAAGGGTTAGGACTAAGATAGGACGTGGAAAAGGCATGGATGGAAACTTTCAAAATTTTTAAATTGGCGAAATTTAATCTCGATCCTTGGAATATAAGCAAACCGTGGGCATTTGGAGTTATTTGTTTTACATACCTCTTTGCGAAAAACCAACACATCTTTGAGTTGAGCTCATTTGTTTCGTGTGACACGCCTCTCCAACACTTTGCGAACTTCCTTGCGCCAGCATCCGAAGCAATACACAGAAACATAGAAGAGATGGCTCGAGACGAAGTGCCAACCATGAGGCTAGAGGCATTGGGTGAAGACGATGCAGTGGAGTTGGCGAAGCAATATAGGACAGAAAGGCAGGAAGAAAGAGGGGCGGAGCAAGCGGCACGACCTCGTCCGTCTACCATGATCGTGGCCAGAAAGCCGATTAACCAAGTGAAACCTGATAACTGGCACACCAAGGCTAACAAGTCGACATTTACGGCAGAGGAGTTGGAGAAGGTACGTAGGAAGTACCAGATTCCAGCGGAGATAGAGTTGAAGTTGCCTACGTCTAAGGAGAGGGCGTCAAATGCACGTCCGATGGAATTTACACTATATGAGGAGGCATTGCGGGGGGGTCTGAGGCTGTCGCTCCTGCAAATAGTGGTGGATGTATTGAAGCAATTGGAGGTGGCGCCAGGGCAGCTGATGCCCAACACATGGAAAATACTACTAGCCTGCGTGATCTCATGGTCACAGGCGGCCGGGGGGGCAGCGATGACAGTAGAGGAAATCTTTTCTTGCTACAAGGCCTCCAGTCAACAAGAAACATGGGTGACCTTGCAGGTGGTGGCGGGCAGAGGATTAGTGGCGGGTTTACCATCATCGGTGAAGGGGTGGAGACCGAGGTGGTTCTTTGTATCAGCAAATGGTGAGAGGGGGGTGCATACAACATGGAAAGTTCCCACGAAGTCGGTGGAGCCAAGGTTGGAAGCAGAGGCCGAAAATAGGGTGAAATAGGTGAAAGAGTGGAGAGAGAAGGAGGGTGTAAAGTGGGATGACCTGATCCGACCTTCGTCATTGTTCGCCTTGAGTCTGGGGCTATAGCCGACCGAGAAGGATCCTACACTAGAAGAGTTGGAGACGAGGAGAAAGGTGCAAGAGGCAGAAGAGCAGAAAACATTTGCCAAGGTCGACAAATATAAAGAATCACGGTTAGGCCCTGCGCCAAAGTTGGTCATGAAGAAGTGAGTTTGACCACGCCCCAAGCCTCTGGGAGATAAAGATTTGACTGACTTTGCACCGCTGCCGCCTCTAGTGGATCCGTTGAAGAAGAAGAAGAGCAAAACAAGAGGTGGATGCAGTGTTGAAGAAGAAGAAGAAAAAGAGGGAGGCTACGGAGGAGAGTGAGGGGGGGCCAGTTGTGAAGAGGATGAAGGAGGGGACGGCGGAGGCAGCCCAGAAGTAGAAGTGAGAAAGACAATGATGGAGGTAGGATGAAACATGGCCCCAAATGCCCAAGTGGTGACTAGCGTGACTGAGCCAAAGATTGGCCCTGCACCAGAAGTGTCTCTAAGTCCTCGGGAAAGAAAATGGGGAGTAAGGAAAGCAGAGATGGGTGCCATGTCGAAGACTGCCATGTAACATGTTCACTCGGTGGCCAGTCGATCGGCAGAAGCAAGGGGCGAAGCCAGGGTCGTCGTCGATCGTCTCCTAGGGGTAGTATAAGATGCGGCCGTGCGGTCAATTCACGAAGGCCGACCTCTTGAGAGGGTTCTGCTCAGCGTAGATGGAGGCGACGACCTTAGCAGCAGCCCTACTGAGTGAAGCAGCATGCGCGAAGGTGGAGGCAAAAGTCGCTAAAAACCCAGTTGGAAGAGGTGAAAGCGCAGTTACAAAACCTAAGGGTCGAGACAGCGGATTGAAGGAAAGTCGTGCAGAGTACCGGTGCAAAAGGCCTGGAGTATGCTCAGAGGGCGAAGAAGATGGAAGTACTGGTGGTGCAGAGCTACTTGGCAGAACATGCTACCTCCAAGCTTGCCGTGGCCAAATCAAAGCTTGAAGTGGTGCGCCACAAAGTGCTGTCGCTGAAGTTTGAGCTGGCGGGTGAGCAGAGGAAGGTAAGCAAACTCTAAGAAGTCTATACCACTGCCAATGAAAGGTTGGAAGGGGCCCTCGCCAACAACGAAGATTTGTGCGACCAGACGCTTAAAGACAAGGAAGAAGCAGATGGGCGCATTACAGAATTTGAGAAGAAGTTAGGGGAAGAGAAGGCCAAAATAGCCTCTGAGAGGACGGCGTACCCCAACCTATGTATGGCGACAGTGGAGCAATTTAAGGGGTCTGCCGAATTCCAGATGGCTATTGATGCTACGGTCGCAAAGAGCTTGGCTAAGGAGGGGGAAGGAGGTGCTGGGCCGTCGGGAGTGGCCGCTGGAGGTAGGATTAAAGAAGAAGCGATTTAAAGCTTCCAGCGGTCAGACTTCTACAACCACGAGAAGAGCCAGTACTGGGACAGCGGCTGGATAAGCTTCAAGTATAAGGCGCAAGAGTTGTTCCCAAATGTGGACTTCAATCTGGTAAAGGTCGGAGAAGACGACGTTGCCTAGACTCCCTTGGACGAGGGGGTAGAAGAGGAAGATCTCACGTCAAGCGATAGGGATTAAGGGCATGGTGTTTTGGTTTTTCTGTTTTGTTCTTTTTTTTTCTTTTTTTTTTTGAAGTAAATGTAATTTATGTAATAAAGTGTATAATGGTGAAAATTGTTAATAAAACTATGAGTTCTATTATTGTTGTTGTTGTTATTTTTTATTTTTTATTTTTTGAATGGTAAGTTCAAATGGTAAAAATGGATAAGTAAAATGGACAAGTAAAGTTTTTGAATGTGAAATTGGACAAGTAACCTAACTTGCATAAATGGTAGAAAATGGGCAAGGATGAACTAAGATTGAAACCAGTCTGTCTAAGACTAATTATGACTAATTGTAACTGCATGCTTTGTCTGGATGAGACTAGTGTTGACTCAGTCTAGCCGAGCTCTTCATACTCAATCTGGCTGAGCTCTTCATGCTCGGTCTGGCTGAGGCTTGGAGGACTCAGTCGGACTGAGGCTTTGGTTAACTCAGTCTAGTTGAGCTCTTCATGCTCAGTTTGGCTGAGGCTTGGAGGGCTCAGTTGAGCAGAGGCTTTCGTTTACTCAGTCTGACTGAGCTCTTCATGCTTAGTCTAGCTGAGGCTTAGAGGACTCAGTCGGACTGAGGCTTTGGTTAACTCAGTCTGGCTGAGCTCTTCATGCTTAGTTTGGCTGAGGCTTGGAGGACTCAGTCGGACTGAGGCTTTGGTTAACTCAGTCTAGCTAAGTTCTTCATGCTCAGTCTGGCTAAGGCTTGGAGGACTTAGTCGGATTGAGGCTTTGGTTAGCTTAGTCTGGCTGAGCTCTTCATGCTCAGTCTGGCTGAGGCTTGGAGGGTTCAGTCGGGCTGAGGCTTTGGTTAACTCAGTCTGGCTGAGCTCTTCATGCTCAATATGGTTGAGTTCTTCATACTTAGTCTGGCTGAGGCTTGGAAAACTCAGTCAGATTAAAGTTTTGGTTAACTCAGTCTGGTTGAGCTTTTCATGCTCAGTCTGGCTGAGACTTGGAGGGCTTAGTTGGGCTGAGGCTTTGGTTAACTCAGCCTGGCTGAACTCTTCATGCTCAATCTGGCTGAGACCTAGAGGACTCAGTCAGGCTGAGGCTCGGTTTACTCAGTCTGACTGAACTCTTCATGTTAAGTTTGGCTGGGGCTTAGAGGACTCAATCAGATGGAGGATGTTGGCAAAGCGCTAGCATTTATCAGACTTAAGCACAAATTCGCTGGCATCTTGATTGAGAGTAGGCCAGAAATAGCCAGTGCGGAGGATTTTGCAGGCCAGAGATCTTCCAGTCGAATGATTACTGCAAATGCCCTAGTAGACTTCTCTCATCACATAGGTCGCTTAATCGGGACTGAGACACCGGAGGGATGGGCATGAGAATCCTTGTTTGTACAGTAGGTCGTTGATAAGGATGTAATTAGACGACCGGGCTCTGACTTTGGTGGCCTGCAGTTTATCGTTTGGCAACTTCCCTCATGTCAAGAACGGAAGAATGTCTGTATCCCATGGGATGGGTTCGTTTTGGAGGAAGTGAACCTCCTGTTGGTTTGGCGAAGTAGCCGGATGGGTCAGGTATTTAATGCGAATGCCATGGCTGAGGTCTGACTGGTCGGTCGAGGCTAACTGGGCCATTTGGTCCGCCTTGGAGTTTTCTGACCTAGGGATGTGTCTAATCTGGAAAGTATTGAAAAGGCGAACAAGAGGAAAGACAATGTCCCTGTATGCCCGCATCGTGTCTTTCTTTGCGTCGAATTGCCCAGTAATCTGCCTGACGATCAATTGGGAATCACTGAATGCTTGGATATGGCTTACACCAATGTCTCTGGCCAGTCAAAGACCTGCTACCAAGGCCTCATATTCGACCTCATTATTGCTCACATCGAATAAGAAACGAAGGGCACACTTGAAATACTCATCCTTTGGGGTGGTGAGGATGAGACCGGCCCCACAACCTTCTTTGCGAGATGACCCATCAACACTAAGGGTGTGTTTGATTGGACGGACTGGAAAAGGGGGGATTAGAATCCATCGGACTTGAGTCCTGGGACTGTGAATCCCCCGGACTATTTGGTCGGATTGGATATGTATCCTGTGTTTGTTTTTTCATGGGATTAGATGTCTGGATAGGACTATTTTCAGTGAATCCAACGTTTGGTTGGACGGACTGGATAGGATAAATGAACAAAAGACTATTTTACCCTTTTTCAATTGTTTACTAAGTAACAGCAATATTAAACATATCTTTAATATTTTAATTATTTTTAGTAAACATTAAACATACTAATGGTTAAATTTTGTTTAAAGATATTTAAACATACTAATATTCCACCTTCTAAAAAAAACACTATTCCATTAAAACAGGCCTTGTGATGGTAAGTAAGAAGCAAAGTTGTCCAATCATTTTTTTTTTTAGTAAATTACAAATATATTTTTTCAAATTTATTTTTTTTTGACGATGAAATCACCATATATTAATAAGCAGAATAACAGCATTACAAGTTATAATAATCATGAGTACAAATAAAACTAGAATAAACAAGCAACAACAAAAGAGTCCCCTAGCCTAGCTAGATTAAATAAAAATTTATTTTATTTTATTTTTTACACAATTAAATAAATTTATTTTTTTAAATTAAATAAATAAAATATCAATAAAAAAATATATTATTTTTTAATTAAAATTTTAAATAAATTTGTTTTTTAAAAAAATAATAATCAAAAAATGAAATTAAATAAAACATCTATTAAATTTAAATAATGAAATTAAATAAAACATAAACAAAATTTTAAAATAAAACATTAATAAAATATCCATAAAAAATTATTTCAAAAAATTAAATAAATAAAACATCAATAAAAAGTTAAATAAAATTATTTTATTTTTAAATTGAGACATTTAAATTTTATTGAATTTTATTAAATATAATACATAATTAAATAGTAGAGGGTCAAAATGGTCATTTTCGCATATAATCCAAATAGTGATTAGTCCCCCACTTTCTGTCCCACCCCCCAGGACAGGATAGTCCCCCATATGGGGGACATGGAGTCCGGCCGGACATGGAGTCCGCCGGACTAAAAAAAAATCAAACGACGGATAAGGTGCACTATTTGGATTACAATCCAAATAGTGGATAGTCCCCCCTCCTAATCCCCCCAATCAAACACACCCTAAGGGTCCAGGAATGGAGGTCTTCTGTAATAGTGTTAAAGTGCGTTGGCATAGGGGGCACGTTCGAAGTGAGATTGGTGAATTCCAAGATAAAATCGGCGACGACTTGTCCTTTGATCGCTGTTCAAGGTCGATAAGAGATTTCAAATTGACTTAGCTCGACGGACCATTGCATAAGTCTACCTAACAACTCTGGTTGTTGCATGACCTTTTTAGAGGCTGGTCAGTGAGAACCACTATGGAGTGTGCTTGGAAATAAGGTCAGAGGCGACTGGAAGCTATGACGAAGGCGAAAGCGAAGGCCATTTTTTTCCAATAAAGGATAGTTCTATTCTGTCCCCCTGAGAGCGCAGCTAATGTAGTAGACTGGACGTTGTACTGAGCCGTCTTCTCTAATGAGGGTAGCACTGACCATAGTGTTTGATACAGCTAAGTAGAGGAAAAGGGTTTCCTCGAAAGTGCTTGAGAGAGGAGGGGAAGGTTGG